CTTCTAGTATAGATCCACCCATGGACAGCTACCTGGAACCAGTACTCTCAGAGATATGACCTCCAACATCGAGCAGCTCTGACAACGTCGCTACGGTCCAAGACATACATCTTCACCGCAATCGCCAGAGCGTGGCGGGTTGATGGATGGGACCGGACGTATCTGGAATGGAAAGACAAGATATTTTTCGCGTGGATCCGGACCTGAAGGTGGAGCGCTGGCTGTTTACATCGCAGAACTAGGCAAACTTACAATCGAGCAACTACTAACTATCGAGCGAAGAATATCTTCCTCACATTTTCGCTGCCCGTACCTTCTTGAGAACTTTGTGCTGGCTACAGCACTGGGTGCCACCACATGGAATCGAGAAGCATCGGAGAAACTGTCGCCAGTTTATTGGAAGGGGGCTGAAGTACCTAAAATAAGATGGAATATCCAAGTAGGTCACCTGACCTAAACCTCTCAATTACCCCGGTTCGGGCTAGTTCAATAGGGTGGTCTGCGGTGGCGGAAAAATCGACTATCTCTCGCTGATACTCAGGCACGGCATATCGCGGTCGCGTGCCAGACATCGCTCGATGGCGCTCGTCCAGAGGCTGTGCGAGTGTCATGATAGTATTTATATGCTCTTTAATATGGTGGTAGAAATGTCCGATTAGAATCAATAAAGTGTACACTTGCCATAAAATGTAAAGTGCCTTTAAAGTCAATGAAGGAAAGTGACTTTTTTGCCCCCTTTTTGTTGTGCCTTTTTTTTGTCTGGTCACGGTGGCAAATTGTGTCGCGACAAAAGGGGCGGAATTATGTGGGGGCGGAGCATGTAATATGATGAGTGATGTTAATCTAGATGTAATGTAATGTAGTGCGTGTAGAAGTGTGTGAAGGGCTCGCGCAGAAAATTTGCGAAAAGAGCACTTCAAAAAATACAAAAAAGTACCTTCGCTGAACATCGTACCTTCGGTTGAGAGTGGAGCTTCTGACGAGGGTTAAAACAGGGCTGTAAAGCATTAGGTTGGCATTTGGTAAATGAGTTGGAGCGATTCACAAAGGTTTTATTTTGAGGAGCTAGAACATTCTTCATACGTGACGATTTGTAAAACAGAAATCAGCACCGAAATTTCGAAAAATTCCTGCTTTCTGATAGGATTTCATTTTTTCCTGGGCCTGCTATTAGGAAAATCCTCGCTGCGATGTCGCTGCGACCTCTTCAGACGATAAGAACTCCCCCGCTCTCTGCGACGCATCACTATTCTCAGTTCGCTTGAAGACTTTGGCATGTTTCTCAGAACATATATTCTCCGCCAGAGTGTATCCTCATTTGACATCACCGCGCCGACTGACATCATCTCTGATATGCGCCATGCCTTCGGCTCCCACGCAGAGGGGGAAGGTGTAACTTCTAGATAGGGCCTCCTCCGTGGCAAGCAGATATGTTCTGCGATCAGATAGGCGCCGGAAATGTACTTTCATCTGTTTTGTCAATTATTGATCATCGTTTGTGAGCGACCATCGCATTCCCTGTCATGCCAGCATCAAGGCCGCTTCATATCAACCCCTTCGCTTCATAAGTTGCTTAGCAAATGAATCGATTAGAGCGTTAGGAACGATCGTCCATTTGTGGGCGAACGGGCCGTGGCGGTGCTTGTGTCGGAATGTTGCGGCTTGGTAGGGGCCCTTATAAAGGCACCTTCCTTAGAAAGGCATTATGCTGCGCCTGCTCAGGGGCGCAGAATTCCGTCTTGCTAGGCTATTAACCTACTCGTCTTGGGGATTTATCGTGCCAACTGCCTTCAATGATTTCCTCTCGTGCCAGATTGGAGAAAACGCCTCATAAGTCTAAGCATTCCACGTTACGAACGAGAACAGAGACTAGTTATGACAGCTGTAATACTACTATACTTCTTCTTCAGCCTTTGTCCCGCTCTGTAGCTGAGTGCGCTCGTCTTATTTTTGTCATGCCACTTCTCCCGATTGAATGCTTGATCGAGATGGGTGCCAACTATCTTAATCCGCATGCAACGTGACTAAACAGCGCTGCTTGGGGCGTCCTTTAGGCCGCTTCCGGGAGCCTTGAGCTCAAGTCAATCCTTTACGGACAGTGTCACAATTCGCGCGAAGAACATGACCCATTACTAACGAAGGCGAGCTTCGAGCATTTTCTCGGCCACAGGAGCTACACCGAACTTTTCCCTATGTCGTCATTGCCTATGCGATCCACACGCCGTGACAGCGGGTGTCCATCGCAACATTTTCATCTCCATGCGCTTCAACTTCTTTGGTCGTAGGCCACCATTCAGCACCGTATATCGCGACTGGTCGAACACGGTCCTACAGATCTTTGATTTGAGGCGATCTGTTATCGTCTTGTCGCAGAGAACGCCATCATAGACTGCCATTTGGACCAGGCTGCACTCACACGCGCGCCCACTTCTGAGTCAAGACTACCGTCAGACGTAATTGTTGATCCGAGGTATTTGAACGTTGTCGTTCCCGTTAGCACACTGCCGCTGACTCTAAGGGAACCAGACTCGTCTGTGTCAGTCACCACGTACTCGGTTCTCTTCACGTTCAATCTGAGCCCGAAGTTTGCTAACCGCTCAGTCTAAGCTTGCACTTGTTCCTCGAGACCATTCTTATCCTCGCAGGCGAGCATCACATCGTCAGCGTAGATAAGCGTCCAAGGACGGCTTTTGAAGGTCCCGTGAAATGGCATTCATGACGACAACGAACAGCAGCGAGGAAAGCGCTGAGCCTTGGCGCACCCCAATTGTGATGTGAAACCCCATCGAAATACCTGCTGGACTTCGCACTCAACTCGTTGGGCTGAAGTACAGGATGCGTACCCACTCGATCAGCTCCACGGAAACGCCGTGCTGCCGTGAGCACACCATATAACTTCACGTGGGACACGGTCGAATGGCTTCTCCAGACCAAGGAAGGCTAGATGGACATGCTTCTTCTTCTCACGACGTTTCTCCAGCAATAGGCGAGCGGCATGTGTGGCGTCGATGGTGCTACAGCCGGTCACGAAGCCACACTGGTAGAGAGCTGGACGATATCACGAATACGCTTATCAACAATTCGCTCAAAAATTTTCATGCTGAGCGAGAGAAGAATTGGACGATAATTTAAGCTGTCTGCAGGACTGCCTTTTTTCTTCCAGATCGGTACCGTCGTGCTCCCTTGCCATAATTCGGGCATTTTCTTCTCTGCAACGACCCGATTGAAAAACACTGTCAACCATTTGGCAGGATGCCAGCAGTGTGACTTTGATACTTCGGGCGTCAGGGACCGTTCCCTGCCTGGCTTCATCTCCTTTAGAGCCCCTCGGTTTCCTTCACGCATACCTTCTGAAGGGATCGTATACTGGTAGGGCGCAAGGTACGACTGCGTGCGTATATCCTTCTGTGGGAATTTTCTCGAATCCCGTAATCGCACCATGCCTCAGCACCTTTGTTCGGTCCATCAGAAGGCGGCCTTTCTTGTCGTTGATGCCAAAAAACTTCTCTACATCTTCTGTCTGGCGGTAACAAGTTTTGGCAAGTCGGTAAATGTGCCGTTCGCTATCGCGCGCTTCCAGCTTCTTACTGGTTTCATCAAAGTGAAAGGCTTTTGTGGCAGCCAAGCCTCCTTTGCCGCTTTTTTCGTTTCCTGGTATTTCCGTCAGTTGTCAGCTGACTTGTCTTCAAGAAAGAAGTGATAGCGCTTCTTCTTCTCACGAACCTTTTCCCATCATCATCTGCCCACAACCATGCCTGCTTTTCAATTCTACGCCTTCCAGGTTTCGTTGTGTCATGTTCAGAACCAGCGGCTTGGGCGATCGCGTTCGTCGACAGTTGTGACAGTTGGTAAGATCACAGCTGCCTCCGCTTCTTTCAAATGCCACCATTTGATTCTCTCGGGACATCGCTCTATCGTTTCGACCTGGGCGACGTTATCTTTAACGCACAGATAAGCGGGCGATGTTGTGAGGCTACTGTCTCATACGGCATGACCTTGGCGTCTGTGACAAACCCTTGATCGCGAAGCCTGACAAAAACAAAATCTATTTGTGTTCTGGCACTCCCGCTGTAGAAAGTAATCAGATGAAGGTCGCGTTTACGGAATTTTGTGTTCACGATGGCGAGATTATGGGGTTCTGCATATTCCAGGATGCGTTTGCCATCGACGTTACGTGTCCCATAACAGAAACCAGCATGACAACTATAACCGTCTTTCGTTGCGCCCATGTGCCAGTTAAGGTCACCAGTGACAATTACGACGTCTTCTGACGAAACCTCAGCTGCCTTCTCCTCAAGCAGAGTCCAAGACTCGTCCTTTGATTGTTCAGCGTATCCCGTCTGCGGAGCATATGCAGAAAAGAAGTGGTGAAGTCGTTGCTCGACAGCAAAAACAATCTTCATCAAACGATCGTCGAAACGTTCCACGCTAGCTATCGAGTCACGGAAACGTCGTGAGAAAATTATGGCCACACTGTTAGTGGTCCTTAGCTTGCTGACGAAAAATGGCATTAGAAGCAGCGACCAATGTCTCTCGACTTGCAACTGGACCATCTTGTTTTCTGCACCACACAGAGATAGATTTGTCTGCGCTTTAGTGCCTCTACCAATTCACATGAATCTCCGGTCAAGGTTCCAACGCTTCACGTTGCAATACGTACTTTGCACGCTACACCGCGAGAATTTCGGCCTAGCCTGGTCGCCCCCCCCCCTCCGATGTCGTCCTTGCATCGAGAACCCTCGCATACTTTCCACACTCGCCGGGCCTTGCGAGTGCGCGTCGGCTCCCGCTCACGCCGTGGCATTATCTCGAAATACACATGGCATGATTAAACATGTTAGTGTGACATGGGTGTTCAGGCCGGCCCGTCACGAAAGCCTGTCACCTGCTGTCAGTTGTCTGCGTTTGCAGCTCGCAGAGACGAGCAGTTCCTAGTGGCACCATGTGGAGGAGCAGACTTCACCACCTGTAATATTGTACTACTATACTGCTCTTTAATATTACGAATATTTAAGCATGAGCCTCGTAATTTGCAACAAATCCACAGAAATCCGCAGCTTGGAGAATGTAGGAACGTTACTACGCTGAGAGGTGCCAAGCAGAGCATTTTGACAGCATATAGCAAAATGTACCTCACTGACCACAGGTTTCTCATCGAAGTTTTTCTGTTCCACACCTGGTAAGCATGCGCTGACGGAAGTGCTTCCAATAGCCACTGAAAAGATGAAAATTTCAGAGGTTCACGTATACGCCATCATGAGCTTGTTTTCGCTCATCACACAACCGCATCCAGAGGGGCACCCATTTTTTTCTAAGGACGTGTGAGTTTGTGCCATGGGTGTTTTTGAAAAAGCCCTCCTGCAGGAAGAAGTCGGGTCACAACGTTGAGAAAATTGTTCAGCAGCAGCTGCAAATGTATGCATCGCTTTCTGTGGGGCTGCCAGCAGAAATAAAGCAACATTATCTCTAAATGAATAACAGACCATAATCTTTCCGTGAGTACGAACAGTCGTTACGTGTAATTCCAGCTGCATTTGGATAGCTAAAAATTTTGTTCAAAAATGCAGCTCTATTTAATCCTAGATGCGTGTAATCTCGAAATTTGAGGAAAAACAAGAACTAGAACAGTAGCAAAACTCACCTCCTTCGATGACTTGCATTGAATGCCTCGGAAAAGTGCTGCTCTGAGACTTGAAACAGAGTCTGCAACACTGGTATCATGTTATCAACACTTCCAGCCGCAGCTGTTGGTGTGCTGGTCTGAAGGAGCCAAATAAAATTGTTCTCGTGGTATTGAGACTACTCGAATATGACGATCATCCGAAAGCAGAAATTACAAAGAAAGGGTACTGATGTCTCACCAGGGAGGTCACTCAGGGCATGGAACGCTTCTTCAAAACACTTCTCGGGTCAAAGGCATCGACTACAAAGCTGTGCTTCATTTTTCGTGTGCGACCCTAAGAATGTGAAAAGAGCAGTGCAACTTGAATTTTTGGAAACAACTTCTTTCGGGGCTTCTATGCAATGCATATCGCTGTGAAGTCCAACTGCCAGAAAGTTGCTTGTACTCTTCACACCGAAAGCAGTCTGAAATACATCCATGTTTTGCCTATGGCAGAGTGTTGGAGAGCGAAGGCGATTTCCTTGAGTACTCAGACTATTCGGTTCTTGCAGCGATTGGGCAAGGGTACAAGCTGTCCAATACACTGAACTCCTGCAAGAACTGACCTTCAAAGCATGTAGTAGGCTCATTTGTATAACTAAACATTCCCATCCTCATTTCATCTGATAGACGCAGCGTGCATAAGTTTTGCCCATTCCTGGCAGCGGCCGAGTGGCTACTTGATCAATGAACGAGCGTCCTAACATTTCTCGACCCCTGGCGACCATGACTTTATAGAAGGACGCAGCTGCTCTTGTTTGGATTCTTATTTACATCTCATATGATATACACCTTTCCTTCTTTACTTCGTTGGGTTGAGGGTTTAACGTCTGTTAGCTGTACGTGTCGGTACCAAGCAGTGGAAAGATACATACTGCGAGGTGCCCACCCATTAGCAGAAGGAGGCTTGCCTATAGGTATTTATCAGTACATTAGAGGCTGAAAGTGTTGAAAAAAAACGTGTAGAGATGTACAAGCACTCTCTAAAAGTGTGCTTGTAGATCTCTAAGGATCCTGGTTTCTGCCGTGAGAGAGGTGAGCTGTAGGAGTGTGCCTGTTTCGTCACGCCGATGTGGGTGGAAATGAGACTGAAGGGTAGTCATACCTAGGAGCCCTGCTCTGGACCTCCACTCGCACGCAGCGCATGCAGCACGTCACACACTGCACACCCTAGCCAAACCAATCGCACTACTTCTTTTCGCCTCTCTAATTAGGTTGGGGAGCTATTGTTCTGTACACGTAGCCGCTGCAGGAATCACGGTTGGGGTACACCAAAAATCAGCCTTGAACCTGTTCCTCTTCGTCCTAGCTCTACATGCCATGACAGAAAAAACTCGTGGAAGGGCCACTGAAAACAATCCTTCACGCAGACGACAATGGCTTGATAGCAGAGAGAAGAGAAGAACTTCAGGGCAGGGGACAAATGTGGCACGATGGCTCGCTGCGAATGGACTCCGACTGAACGTTGAAAAACCAAGTTCTTGAGTTCCGTGGAGTGCAGCAACACATCGCAGATCACCACGGCGAAAGCATTGAAAGGGTCAAGGACATTCAGTACCTGTGAAGCGAAACTGCAGCTTATGGTGACGTAGACCGGAGCAAAAGCTGGAATTACTGCAACTTGGATGAAATGGAAAGAGTCCACAGGCATCCTCTGCGACCCGCGGTGTTCGAGAACACTCAAGGGCAAGGTGTACCAGGCAGTAGTTAGGCCTGCGGCGCTTTACGGCAGCGAGTGTTGGCTCATGTGCAATAAGCAATGCAGCTCCACTCGGCTGAAATAAACGCTGAGATGGGTACCGGCCGGACACGACGAGACAGAGTAAGAAACGAGGATGTCACGGTGGTCACACAGACGGCTTCGATCCAGCTGAAGGTACGAGAGCAGCGACTGCATGCTATGGGCACATGGTAACAAGGCCTGAGGACCATGCGATAAGAAAAGCGATGGCGAAGTATAGGCAAAGCGACCACGAGGAGTTCAAAAGAAAAGATAAAGTAACGTCATCAAGGAGGATCTCACTGAAGTGAATGCAACGGCAGAAGATGCAGTGGATCGGAACAAGTGGCGACGTCTGACAAGAACATCGGACTTTGCGACGACGCGGGATTAACGCCGGCGAAAAGAAGATGAAGAAGATGCATGGATAAACCCAAATTGGTACTGAAAAAAGCAAACTTCGTGAGCATTGGGAGTCAAACTCAAAGCCTCCCATATTAATGTATAATAAGAGTCCTATCTACAACACTAGGCCATCCGATCGCCGCAAATGGTCCGGATGCTCAAGGGAATTTCGCCTGCTCTTAAGCACTTTGCCTAGATAAGGGCCTATACATGGCTATGTTTCACATCGTTTTCAGTGCGCAGCTTACATGTACCTCTTGGAAGGAACCAGTCGAATATTCGCAGTCGCAGTGTATCAAAGCTGTGAAAGACGACGTGCAGAAAAAATTTTTTTTCTCACTTCTTTTTCTAGCTTCCCCAGAGGTGTGCAGGAAGGTTGAAGCTCAGTTTTGTAGTCTATCCCTGTTCTGCTATACATGCAGAAAACCTCTTCTCAAGGCGCTCCATGTTATAAACGACCTCCGTGGTCAGAACGACAACTAAAGGATCCAAGGTATCTGAGACTCCGAGGGTTGCAAAACAGTGCGTTTGCATCTCTACAGCCATGACCAGCTATCTCAATTTTTTTCTTCCCTCAGTTGTTCTTTCTTTTTGAGGTTAAGAGCTCAAGTCTTTTTCGTGACTACTAGTTCGTAAAGAGAGGGGACGAGCCGTATATCAATGCTTTACGACTACGGGCAGTGTTTCAATGCTACGTTGTTTGCTTTGCCTTTGCATGCCTTATCACCTTTTTCATGATTCAGCCTGCTACTTTTCTATCTGAAGAGAGTGCGTAGAGAAACGCACGTGACATGGCATAGCCGTGCTGCGGTTTGCCCCTACTCAGGAGTGTGAGGTGAGTTTTTTCTTGAATGCATCCCTCCATCTCTACTTTGCTCCTCGTCGTTGCTTGCTTTGTGTTTGGAGAGCAGTGTCTTTCTCATTGAGTGAAACTGAAGGAGTTAAGGCAGTTGGGAGGGCAAGGAGAGACGGTTTGGCGAGAGTAGGCCGTCCACTTTCGTCAGGTGTTCTGCAAGCCTCGTCGGGGAGAAAGATCACTTGACCTTGGTGAGAGGGGCACATAAACATGCGGCCTCTCCTTCTCAAACTCATGTGAAAACTCATAGGCGAACAGGGCACGCCATCGTTGTGAAAATCGCAAGGAGGATTGTATTTGGCCGCAGGGGTAGTGACATCACATTTACCATCGAGAAATTCTTTTTCGACAGATGGTGCTCCCTGTTGGACGCGCATTATACCCCCCCTCCCGCCCTGCTCGAAGGCGAGGGTTCAGGGAATCGGGGAAAATCAGTTGAGCACATGTAAGGAGGAAGGAACGGTCATTATTCCTACGAACCCCAGAGCGCGTGAGGGAGCGTGGGATGGGGCGCAACCGAGCCATCCTTTCCCAGCAATTGACGCTGTCCGGAGTCCACAACCCTTGGTGAGATTGGTGCCCTGATAGCGCACTATACCACGCCCCTTCACGCGCCCTCCCGTCTGCAATGATAATGACTGTAGGTTGCGAAAGGAAGGGGTCGCGCCGGAAGGCAAAATGTGTGGAGGGTTGTATTATGGAACAAGTTCAAAAATCTCTGCGATGATGTGCCCCGCCGCCACGCCGTCTCCCCTCTTCACCCCCCTCCCCCGGTTTCAGGTAAAAACTCAACGGCAGTGCACATTTGTCGCAAGCTTCACGGCGAAGAACAAATGGAACAGCGAACACTACCTAGTTCTATTGAATCGAGTACTGTACTAACGGATACGGATACGAAGAGGATGTAGCGGCAAGCGGCTATATTACCTTGGCGCGGTCCTGGGTTCAAATTTCGAGCCGACTTCCGCCCAGGCCAATTAGGCCTTCTACCTCCCGCGGACGCCATATTGATACCAGACTCGTCTGGGAGGATAACAATTGTCCGGGAGGACAAGAACACTGACTTATACATCGGCTTCCCCTGCAAATAATTGTATAGGATGCATAGCATCCAATGAGCCACGGTGATTCCAAATGTATAGAACGTGCGCCGCATCCCACAAAGGGATTCATTATCGGCGGTAACTTATCCTTGTCCTCCTTCCTTCACATGCCACATGGATCGGGTTTATATCCATTATATCTTGAAAAAGGAAGTCTAATTACCGTAACTATCAATATGGATAACTCAGTGGCTTACGCTACAGTGTCTACAGGAAGGGCTGGAACGTTATTGGTTTCGTGCATACACAAAGTTCGAAAGTGACGTTCACGTTCCGTGTTCTGCGATTTTTTGCTGTCTCACGTCTGACCAGGGACGTCGTTCAGGACGTGGAGTACTTTTTCAAAACGGTTTGTTGCATTATATGAAGTTGGTCCATGATATCCAGAGATAGAGCACTTTCTTCCTAAACGGCATTGTGCACTAAAAAATAAGAAGTGAAAAACAGTTATTTAAAAACTTTATTTTTTCCATTTCCAATGCTTTGCCCATCGCTTGCATCATTCATTGGCGGGTCAGAATGCGCGTAACAACTACATTCTAAAAACGACATGAATTACAGCCACCAATGGTGCCTTACACATGACCAGTGCTAGAAAGGAGAAGTATGTCCTTCCAGTCATCGAACTATCTCCGCTACCTAAGTGGTCAGATGGTGTGGCGATCAACGCAGTGGACTCTCGACTTCACGGTAGAGGGCTGTGGTTCAAATCATCGCGGTGCAAGATTTTTTGCACTTTTCTTGATCTCGGCTCTTGCGCATTTGGATATCCCAATACATGGATATAAGTTCAATATGTTTTTTTGGATCCTCTTTATGCGCTTTGAACTATTACTAACAGTTGAAAGTCAGTGGTGCTCAACTGATCCATCTCCAAAATAGCATCGAGAAAATTCTCACGGAAGCTCAATCTTTTGGGAGTAGTCGGGGCTCTGATCGCGACTGCAACACTCGATTTCACCTTTGCTGCTATTT